AATTCTTTATCAGAGAAACACACATTTGGCCGTAGGTACAAGCAAACTATATGATTCTAGGTACAAGACTTGATAGCCGTGAAAAACATCATCTATTAACAAACCCGGATTGAGAGGAAACATATTGCATTTAGTACTTAAGTAACAAACACTATTAAATATCTATGGAAAAGCATTTCCTCTAGAATTGTAAAACAATATTTATACCAGCTGCAAAACTTTACTTAAGATCTTCAAAAAGGCTTTTCCGATTTTAACTTGCCGTGGCATTGCTCTCTGAGAAACAAAATAGGATTAAAAAATAAGATTTTTTTATAATCACCTGACTGAGAAATATAATTTTATAGTTTTCAAATAAAGTGGGGTGGCCCAAGGTACAAGAAAGCGTTAGGTACCCGAACTTCCCTTATATCCATTTTTCAAATTACAGCTTACTAATTAGAGTCGATAACAAAAGTTTATATAAACCAAGAACTATAGCTCAATATTTCAACAAGTTTTTTTATTGATATAGGTCAAAAAAAATCCCTAATACTAAATCTTAATTTACTGATTTTCTAGTACCCATGGATAATTGCATTGGTTCAGTTGAGTTGTCTTTAAAATTATAGTTTGAAGAGTTTGAAAGTGCCTTCAAATCGTTAAAAAAGTAGAGCAATTGAAGCAGATCAAATAAATGGAGACGTTATTATAGATTGTTTTGAACAGCTCAAAACTGTTCTTTTTAGAGTTTAAAGCTTCTATTCATCAAGGTGTATTCCCGAACAGTTAAAAATTGCCAAAATTACTCCTATTTTCAAAGACGGGGGCAAATCAATTATTAGTAACTATCACCCTATTCTATTCTTTCCAAATTTTCAAAAATTCTCAAAAGATTTATATATAACAAAGTATACAAATTTTTTTACGATAATAAATTACTTTACATTAATCAATTCGGTTTTAAAAAGGATGGCTCAACTAAACATTTAATTATTTAATTTGTACGTGAAATCTCGAAATCATTTGGAAAATCACAGTATACGTTACGACTTTTTATTGACCAATCAAAAGCTTTTAATACGGTCGATCACCAAATTTTAAACTTAAACACTATGGAATAAAAAATAAAGTTTTAAAATGGTTTGAAAGTTATTTGTCAAATTGAAAACATTTTGTTCCGAGTAACGACGGTTATCACACCACTTGTCTTTCTATAACATGTGGAGCCCCACAAGGCTCATTCTTGGGAAACTCCTTTTGTTGGGAAACTCCATTCTTGAGAAACTCCTTTTCTTAATTTATAATTATAATTTAAATAAAGCCTCTAAACTGACAAGTATTATGTTTGCAGATGATACTAACTTATTCCCATCTAACAGTGATACTTTTGAACATTTAAAACAATAAACAAAGAGCTTAAACATTGAGTTGGTTTAAGTGTAATACTCTAATACTAAAATACTCTAAATAGTAATAAAACAAAGTGAATATTCTATTTGCTTTCTAAAAAGCGATTTTTGCCATTAAAATTACCTAAAATTTTTATCGATCAAGTTAAAATAAAAAGGGATTCCGTAACAGGTATTTATCTTGATGAAAACATCATTTGGAATCATCATATCGACTACATAAGCACTAAAATTTCAAAAAACATATGAATTTTATTTAAAACACGAATTTACCTCAATAAAAAAACTTTATTATTCATTTATAAACAGTTATCTAAATTATGCTGATATTGCCCGGGGTAGCACAGAAAATTTAATTGGTTAAATTGACTGACTTGTCCTGTTTTTAAAAATAAATAAAAAGATTTCATCTCCGAATGGATATAACAATAATCAACATATGTTATTTTGCCTTATTCTTACCGGCATGGAAAATAGTTTACGCAAATATATTTGTTTCATAATTTAAACCCTATTTGTTAGGATTAAAATCTTGAAAAAATAAATTTTAAAACATAAATATGCAAATAAATATTAAATTAAGTATCCAGGATGAAAGAGCAATAAATTCTAAGCGAGAGACAGTTATTATAAATTTTTTGAAACTTTTTCTTTTTTACCATTTTTTTTTTCTTTCTAAAAGAACCACCTTAAAGTAAAAAAATAAAAGAGTGACTTTTATGAATAACCTTTTAATAAAGCACAATAATTGATAGACTTTTTTACAATACACTTTTACAAATAACGCTTTATTTGTATATTGAAGGCGCGAATTTATATTAGGACATAAATTATAAACGACTTTACTAAAAATTATAAACGACTGCCCACCCATCCCGCCCCAAAAAATCACAAACATATGCATATGCTCAACTTTGCCCATATTTAAGGATCTCTTTTTTCTAAACTCAATTAATAAATATATACTTAGAAATAATAAATTTTTATATGAACAATTTGCAGAACAAATTTTCCTTAGATTTTGGCCATCATATCTCTTGAATAAAATTGCTAATATATAGTATCTGACGATGATATAATTAAATAATTTTTAAAGAATATCACGTATTCATCTTTTTAATTGAGTGATTTCTATTGTGTTTTCTTTTTCTTATTATATAGAAATGTCGTACTGTATTTACTTTGTATATAAATTTATACATTGTTCCATTTAACTCTATTAAATTCTTTTAAATTTTATTTCTCTGTTAAAATCTATTTCTCTATTAAATTCTATTTCTCTATTATAATCTTTGAATCAAAATAGACTCTAATGTATCTTTTGCGTCGCATATTCATTACTTATAATTGAAATTAGGCAGATCGAATGGCATGTCAACTATAATCCGTCATTATAATAAGCATGAAACTATGCTTAATATATTTCATGGTATTTGACAATCTAAGCATCTTGCAAAACTAACTCATCCCCAAAATAAGCTAAATTAATTCATTTCCAACATGCTAATTCTAACTGCTCGGTGTAGTTAAGGCGATTTACAAATTATTCAAATTCTTTTATTTAGAATTAGCATGGTTTTATCAGCGTATTATGTCCAAACAAAAGCTTTAAATGGTATAACTTTATTTTGCTTTAGGTTTTTTTTAATATTTAAAGAAACATTTTTATATATATAATTTTCAAAACCTTTTTTTTACCCGTAATAGTGAATCTTAAGATTTTGGAGTCTTTAGATCACGTTTATCGGCGTTAACATGAATTTAGTTAAAATCTTTTGAAAAAGTTCCTTAATTTACTATTTAATCCTAGTTCTAATCGGTTCTGACGTATATTAACTATATAGAGTTGTTAAAACACAATATTTGTATCAATTTTCACAAAAAACACTAGAATTCCGATCAAGAAAGAGTTTATAATTAAGAAAAGTTGCCAATAAACGATCAGAACAGATCATATTATTAAACTGTTCATTTCACCTAAAAAACGTATTTGTGATTTTAAAAAGACTTTTTGTTTTTTTTAATTTTCGGTCTGGGTTTTTTCGCAATAAACATTTATAATTTGACCGCAAAATTTTTCATTTTAATTTTTTTCGTCTTTTCTTAATTCACAGACTTGATCATTGAACGAAAATATGTTGTAGTCAACAAAATATCATACAGACGCTATAATAATTTAAAGTTGCCTTAACTACAGTGTAGCATACTTTATTTTTTTTTTAATCAAAAATTCTTAAATTGTGACTTTATTTAACTATCAAATTGCCTATTAGTTTGGAACCAAAATCATAATAAATTACCTTTTACTTTATCAACTTTGTTAATTATAAAAAAAATTGTGATTATATTCTACGATCTGCTTACAACTTTAAGCGAGAGGCTGAATAAGCGCAAATTTTATAAGTGCGAAGCAGTTGCAAAAACTGGAATAAGTGCGAATCCGGTATAAGTGCGCCAAAAGAATTTGCAAACATCGGCAAACATGAGTGAACTGGCATAAGTGCGAAGCAGTTAAAACTGGCACAAGCGCTAATTGGCATAAATGTGCTGAATAAATTGGCATAAGTGCGAAATGCAAACATTGGCATAAGTGCGAAGGAGTTACAAAAACTGGTATAAGTACGCCCAATAAAATTGCAAATATTAGCATAAGTGCGAACTGGCATTTCGCACTTATGCTAGTTTGCATTTATACCCATGTTAACAAACACTATTGGCGCACATATGTTAGCATTTGTGCGCCAATAGTGTTTTGCCAATAATGCCGATTCGCGCTTATTCAGTTGTCCTACTTTAAGTTATCTGGACCTAAATGTCGAACTTTTCATTATGGTTATGAATCCATACAACATAATAGCATACAAAACAATGCCATTAAATTATGTGAAATGAATGTAATAGGCTAAAATAGCAAAATTCAGAACATCAATTTGTGTAAAATAGCAAAATTCAGAACATCAATTTGTGAACATCAAAATGTGTGACTCCAAGTGTGCGCAAAAGAGTTCTCTTTGCGCTTGAAATCTAGAAAAAAGGTGTTTTTATGTTCTAACATTTTTGTTTTAACATTGTTTCTTAAATATAAGAATATGCTATAAAAGATTAATTTAATCTGTCTCACATTTTTTATAATAAAGTTTTGTTCAAATTCAAGCAAAACGCATTTTTAAATAAAAAAAATAAATTAAAGTCAAATTTTTATAAATGTATTATAATTTAAAAAAATAATAATAATACTAATAACAACAAAAAATAATTTGTAGAAAAATAATAACTCCCATGCACATATAGATGTTTAATAAAAGCTAAAAAATAAATTATTTTCAATAAAAAAATTGTGCTAAATTAAAAAAAAAAAATTTAAATGACATTATTATATCAAAAACTATAAACATCAGCACACCCAGAACAACTCCAGTTGTCTATATTATCATATTAATAAATCAATTTAAATAGGATAATTTCTCATCTGTTAAAGTGATCGAGCTTGTTCTCAAAACTTACAAGTGTGCCAATGTTATATATATATATATATATATATATATATATATATATATATATATATATATATATATATATATATATATATATATATATATATACTGTATTCTATATTAGAATACAAGTCTACAAGAATCTAAAAAAATTTTTAAAATAAAATCTAGAACTTTTCCATTTTTTTATTAAAATGTCACAATTTCTATTTGTTTCTGCATAGATATATCTGGTGTAGATATACTTCTATCTGGAACTTTAAAATATTGATGTCCATTTCTTTCTGAAGTATATATATATCCATTGACCGAAGGTTTGTTTATATTTGCTTCTAAATACTTTGCAGGGCAAGGAGAAAGTGTTTCTCCTCTGAAAGTATCTTTATAAACAGTAGAAAATTCTTGTGGACCAGTAAATGAAATATTATCTGGTTTAGGCAGAACTAGATTTTGACGATCTGTTTTAAAACCTGTGAAATCAGTTTGAAAAGTTGTGCGACCATCAAAGTTTCCAGACGGTCCTTTGTAACCTTCTGCTGGTCGCATACTTTCTCTTGGATTAATTGCCCACGGCTTAAAAGCATCTTTATGAGTAGTCAAACCATCAAAGCTGCCAGGCTGCAATCGAACATAATTAGGGCGAGCACTTTTAGTAGGATCAATATGCTTTTTTGTGTAATCATGTTGAAAGGTAGTTTCATGGTTAAATGGAACAGATGAGGCAGTCCATCCAACTTGTGGCATCCATTTCTTTCTTTTTTGAATACTCCATGGCTTGTATGTTGTATTATTTGTTGTTTCTGTGTCAAGAGGATCTCTTGACATTACGGTCATTTGATTAGGTCTACAAGTAAGAGCAGGCTTGCCATCTAACCATTTGAAACTATGTTGTGTTGTTGTTTGATGATCGAATGGTTCTTTGCATTGAGTTACATGTTGTGGTGGTTTTGCTGATTTTTCAGGTCGAACATCTTTTGGAGAGTAATCTACTTTTGAAGTTGTTTCGTTTGCAAATTTTCCAGTTGGCAAAGATAAAGCAGATTCAGGAATTTTTAATGGATCTCTTCCAAGATGCGCAAGATGACTAGGAAAGTCATGTTGAAACGTGGTTTTGTGATTAAATTTACTTGTTGAAAATTTAATAGACTCCAAAGGTCTAAATGCAGTATTTGTTTGAAGATCCCATGCTTTGTATGTTTCTTTATTTACTGTAGTATCATTAAATGGTTCATTATGAGAGATATAATTATATTGTGGCTTAGATGACATAACTTTTTCTGGAAATTTTTCAAAATAATCCTGCTTATAACTTGATAACCCTTCAAAGTTTCCAGGAATTTTAACAAACTTTGCAGGCTCTTTCTTTAATCGAGGAACAATAGCATGAGGGATATATTCTTTGGAATATGTACTAACACCGTCAAATGGTTGATCACTTAGACTAGTTGCATTAATAGGCTTAAAAGGAGCTTCAGGTTGGTAACCAGAAAATTTACGAAAGGTATCTCTATATTCAGTTAAAGCACATGGGCCATTTACCTTTATTTCACTATTTGTGCGATGAATGCAATGATGGCGCCTACATAATAATAAACAAAACTTAGTTAATTAAATGAAAAAATCATGGTTAGTAATACTTTTTAAAAAGTAATTAAAACAGCTAAATTTCTTCTATGGTCTGTTTCACCTTCAGCAGGTTCATCAGGAAGAATGTTTAAATATCAAAAAATTCAAATTATAAAAAAAAACTTTTACAGGAGGTTAGAAATTTGTATAATTAATTTTATAAAGGGTAGTAATATAGCAACCAGGAAGTTACATTAGTAACATTTTTCACAAAATTGATCCATATGGGCAATAATTTTAAATTTTTCTTTTAAATGTAGCATACATTTTTAGAAACATTATTATAGGCTGGTGCAGTTTTTAGAAAGACATAGACTAGTTTAATTTGAAATTAATATTTTTTTCTTTTAATTGCCAAATATATTTTGACAGTATAGCCTCTTTTGAATATTTTTTATATTTAAAAGATTGTTTGTGGTTGGCGTAATGTTTTTTTCATTCGCCTTCACCTAAGCCTTTACTTTATATATATTTATTAGTAATTTTGTGAGGAAAAAATGCATTTGTAAATAATATTTTTTGATAAGCTTATCAAAAAAAGTATTATTTAAAAATATGAAATTAATTATAACAACTTCCTGTAAAATATTTTTTTTATAAGTTGAATTTTTTTATATTTAGACATTCCTTCTGATGAACCTGCTGAAGGAAAAACAGACTGTATTTTGAAAGCATATTTGTGTTTTCTAGCAAATAGATAGTCACAAGAACAAATATTTATTAGATAATCACAAAAAAATAACTATGCAGTCTATGTGGCTAAAATTTGATACTTAGAAACAATTTTAAACATTTTGATAAAAAATGTCTAATATTACTCTTATTTGCTCTGACTTTTGACTTTAAAACTAACCAAACAATTATAAGCAAGAAAGAAATTAGATTATCATTTGTTTAAATATTTAAAATGTTGAACAAATTAATTAATATGCATTAAACCATTATTTTAAATACTTTTTATTTTAGCCTTACTTGTATTTGCATATCTAATTTTTGTCTAGTTTTATAGTCTCTATCAGAAATCACACATTCTGTAAAAGTATGAATCAGAGATAAACATTTTTCAGTATGCATATTTTTCGATTATGTATACTGGATTTTATTCTACTCAAATATCTTGTATTTTTTAGCCTTTTTTTTTTTTAAATAGATGTAGATAAAAAACAGGATTTTGAATAAAATAGCTATATATACTAAACTGACTAAGAAAATTTGTTTTAAACACAATAATTGGACCACACTATCAGTACTGTATATCTTTTTTGTTAGAAACAAATGAAGGAAATTTTTTAACTATTACAAAATAAAGCATTTAGAGCTACCCTCAAATGTGATAGACATGCCATTATAGCATAATTATGAGTGCTCTAAACAATTTTATGTAATGTACTTTCTAACTCTATTTGTATGTAATGTACTAAATTTAATATATTTTTTGCATATTTAGCAAATGGTAAAGAATAAACATAATTTAGTTATGGAAAGCTTTAGAAGATTATTTAAAGCTATACTTACCCACAAGTACATATTTGACAAATGCAAACCAACTTTCCAGTTCCCATATTTTTTGTTTTTGCCATAAGAAAATATTTTTCGATCTCAAGTGAATGCTTTGCTCATGTTGTGAATAATTAATAGCAATTTTGGAATAAGTAATGGTAATTAATTATTTATTATAAAAAATCTTTAAAATTTTTTTTTTTGAAATTGAAATTAGAAGTTAATCACCTTGTGAGCTAAATCGAAAATAGTTTTTACGTTCTTTATGTATTTGTTGTTTATGAAGTTGTTATGGAGACGTTCCAACGTTGCTAAGAAAACTTTTTAGTTTTATTTTTCTTTCTTTTAATGTTTAAGCAACTTGTATTAAAATGTATTTAAGCATTCAAAATAAAATGCTAATTATATTTGGATATCACATTATCCAAATTTTATTACATATAAGAGATTTCATTAAGATTCACGGCTCATAAAATATTCTTATGGAATTCCACGTAAAGCACGAATTTTATTTAGCCTTATGCCCGAGTTTTACGACAAACAGAATGACGACAAACAGATGAGTTTTACTACAAAGATAATGGATTTAATTTCTTTTATGTTTGTGATTCTATTGAAAAAAAAAAAAAGGGGTTAAGTTCTAAGAATCAAAGTGATATTTGTAAACTGAAAAGTTCATTGACTTGGTTGGAAAAATCTTTGGTTTTTAAGCGATTTGTTATTAATGAAAACAATGCAAAAACAACAACAACAACAACAACAACAACAACAACAACAACAACAACAACAACAACAACAACAACAATAACAAAAACAATGTTAAGATCTACAAGTACACAAGCCTCTTACAGGAATTACAAGAGCTATAATTATAAAATTACAGTTAAAACTAGAAACTAAAATTATTTATACTGTTGATGTTAATGGTTGTTTGTTTTTTTTTTACTTTTTATCGTACTTTTTTTTTTTTACAATAGCCAACGAAAATATTTCCATTTTTTTTTTTTTTTTTAAAAGCATGTTTGTAGGGGTTAGCAGACTTTAACATCCCTCAGAATTAGGCCGTATTTTTCGGATACCGGATTATTTTTTATTCTTAAATATTGTCGCTTTAGCGGACTCTACGTACTAAGTCATAGGGATGTTTTATTAATTTAAGTTACAAGTACTAATAACGTTTTTTTTAAAAAAGCTAGTTCCATCACTTTTTCCATTTTTATTCTATGTTGAATTTAATATGTTAACTGCCTCATAGTCATCCCATTAACTGAATTTAACTATTAGAAGTTTATATAAAATAAATTTATAAAATATATAAAATTAATGGGGTATTTTAGAAAAAAGAATTTTTTTGGTAGGTATCTACACAAAAAAATTAAAAAATATAAATTGAAATATAATATATTCAATCTAAATTTTTTAATTGTTTTTTAGATATCTACCAAAAATAATGTTTTCTCCAAAAAATCCTACAATAATTTTTATAGTATAGACTATAATATAGTCTATACCAGTATATAGTCAGAAGTATTATATATATATTTTATAGTATAGACTATAATATAGTCTACTTTATCTATAATTTAGTCCCAATATTATATCTATAATATAGTCCCAATTTTATCTATAATATAGTCCCAATTTTATCTATAATATAGTCCCAATTTTATCTATAATATAGTCCCAATTTTATCTATAATATAGTCCCAATTTTATAGTATAAACTATAATATCTATTTTACAATATCTATTTTATCTATAATAGTCCCAATTTTATAGTATAGACTATAATATAGTCTATACTAGTACGTAGAGTCCGCTAAAGCGACAATATTTGAAAATAAAAAATAATCCGGTATCTGAAAAATACGGCCTAATTCTGAGGGATGTTAAAGTCTGCTAACCAGTTAAAATAAATAAAATTTGTTTAAATTGTTTCAGGTATTAAATAATGCTTCTTGTACAGATTGTTTAAAGTAAAGATGTGCACATAGGAATAGAGTATTTTTATTGACATAGAAGGTATATGCACCAGTAAAAAGGTACACAAACGACATAATATGTGTGCGACATTAAAAGAAGATGTAGGAATAAGGTAAAAGGGGTTTTTACATATAAATGTTGATATTTGTAATATAATTATAGCTTTGCGAATTTGTTAGTTATTTGATTTAATTTTATTTTGTTTTCAGGTTTCATGAGCTTCTTGCAAAATTTTCTGTTAATGTTAACCAGTGTAATAAATCTGAAAACACTTCTAATACTCTTTTATTAAAACAAGACAGCGACAGTCCAGTTCTTCCACTGGAACAATACATGTGTGTAGGGACTGCGTTGCGGCGTAAAGCATTTTTTGAGGTAATAAAAAGACTTGGCTTTAGATAAACAAACATAATATATATATATATATATATATATATATATATATATATATATATATATATATATATATATATATATATATATATATATATATATATATATGTATATATATATATATATATATATATATATATATATATATATATATATATATATATATATATATATATATATATATATATATATATATATATAATATGACATGATAAAAATCTCCTAAAAATAATATGACTTTAAAAGTTATTGTACAATATTATACAATATATGCTATTTACCAGTATATATTAAATATACTGATAAATGATATCTTTAGAATAATTCAAAAAGTTTTTTTGAATGCTTCAGAGTGTTCAAGCTGGTGATGTTATCTTTGGAAAAGTATGCAATATATTTGATAAAGTTTTAAATGTGTACCTAGTCTCAGTTCTTTGTGGTCCTAATCGATGGGTTGAAGATTTAAAAATTTTGGTATGGTTTTATATGCAATAGTTAACTTTAATTAAATTCATCATCTATTTTAAAGCAAATAAATAATTTAATTGATTAATAGGCTGTTGGTAATATAGACGATGTTTATAAAAATGATAATGATAATGAATTGGAAGTTGGTGACAATATTAAAGGTAAATTTAATATGTTCATAATGTAATTATAATAGTATATCAATAATATTAAAACAATAATTGTAAATTGTCATAAATTTCAGAATTATATATGAAATTAAAATATTGAATTTCATATATAATCCCGAACAGATAAACATTTGGTATCTAACATTTGTTATTTGGTATCAAATTAGATTTTTAGAAAATAGACAGAAAATTTTTATATGCAAAGTTTAACTGGATATAATTTATACATTTTGAACTTTATTTCTAGGCTCATTGGAAAATATTTAAATCTTTAAAAAAAATTTGCAGAGGGGTAATTCTATGTCAAATGACCCAGGTCATGTCACCATACATCTCAGATTTCACTGATTTTTATATAGTTGAGAGTGCTTTTTAAAATAAGAATTCCTTAAAAATTTTAGCCTCTGGCTCCAAGAAGATCCTGAAATATGTTTTACTTTTAGCAGATATTGACCAGGGCCCTCTTGTCCCCTCAGAATTGTAAAATTTATTTGGAGGTTTTAAGTCACATAACTTTAAAAATATTTGATTTTTTTACTTAAAAAACTTTAGCTGGCTATTTTGGGGGGTGATGAATCCAATGACATGATCAGAAGTGTAAAAAAATATTATTAAGTTTAAATTTATTTAAATTGATATTTAAAGGAATTATCAATTTAAATAAATTTAAGTAATTTGATATATACTTGTTTTTAATGCTCAAGAAACCCATGTGTCCTTGATGATATCAAAAAAAAATATTACACATTATTCATTGATCTCATTATTCATTGAAATATACACATATTCATTGATCTTTCAAAAGTAATAATAATTTCTCTGTTTATATTTAAAATTTATTGAAAAAAATAAGATTATATTTTTGATGTAATCGTTTTCTCCTTAATTATCCTTACTTTTTCTTTCAAAAAAATGTCTTTCGCGACCAAATCTCCTTAAATATTAGGAAAATATCTCCTTAAATCTCCTTAAAATCCTTAATTTTAGCTTTAGTTTTAATATTAGGAACCCTGTAATTATTTACAAAGTTAAATACAAAAATATAAAGTAAAAATATTAAGATTGTGTTAAGTTTTGCTTAGATGCATCTACGGTTAAAGTATACGTCCATCTAGTTGTTGTTACAGCTGCATCAATGATACAAGTTATGTTGGTAATTGGAACCCAATAAAAAGTTTGTTAAGTGGACTGTGCAGATGCATAAATGTTACCAGAACATCTTGCTCAATATAGTCAATTTCATTTATCATACCCAGTCTTCTCTGTTTGAAATTTAATGCCAGTGCACAAAAAAGCGCTGACAGGATGGTCATTTTTAAGTTATCTGAGATATAGAGTGACATTTTAAAAAATTTCAGTTTCATTTGACATGGAATTACCCAGAGAGAAGATTTTGTAATGTTGTTCACCTCTCTAATGACTGAGTAGGCCACTGCAGTTGAAGAGGCTACTTTTTTGTGGTTAGAACCCCCTCTCAACTCTAACTCCAAAACACAAACCTTGACAAACAAGGCTGCTGCATGGATGAAAATTTTGTTCTGCAGTTTGTTGCAGTATTGAGCAGTTTTGGAATGTGACAAAGGGTTTTTAGGTTTATGCAAAGATTTTTTTTAATGTTAAAAGTCTTTGTTTTTATCTTTTTTAATTAACTTTTACATATTTGTAGCTGTTATAACAAATGTTAAGAAAACATCTGAAGAGATAACAATATCCCTCAATGATAAATGCTTATCTGATATTGCTTTCAATCATTTTCCATTGGTAAGAATGAAACTTAAACGTGTAGTTTTTATTTATCTAGATATTTTTTCATTTATTTTATGAGTATTACTGAAACAAAATTATATTTGATATTTAGGGTAGAGTTGAAAATAATATTTACTACAGAAAATCTCAGCTTATTAAGTATGTACATTTAAAAAAATTTTTATATAAGTTTTAAATATATATAAATACAGTAAAAGAAAGTACAGTAAAAAGTGTTAGTACTTGTAAAAGTATATTTTTGCCAAATCTAATTTATATGTATGTATGATGTGGTGTACACAGGATTTTTAGATGTTTGAGTTTTAACGCTTACACGTATTTTGCAAACTCCAAACTTTTGTATGTTCATACTTATGTCAAATGAGAATGTTTTGCAAAAAGTTGAGGTGATTGGAGCTTGGAGACTAAAAACCCCAATTTTCGGGCCCACCCAGCCCTTAACTTGGGAGCAACAAGTTGACAAAATAATTTCTTTAGTATTTTTATCTAAGTTTATATTCATCAACGAATTTCAAATTTCATGCAATAACCTCTTAGTTTTTAGTTTTTATGACCCTACAAAGTTTACAGCCCACTCAAATTGAGGGGGTTAAAACTTTATATGGTCATAATTTTCGAAAAATAAGAAATTATTGGATGAAATTTGAAATTTGTTGATGAATATAAACTTAGATAAAAATACTAAAAAAATTATTTTCGCACAATACATGTAAGTGTCAAAACTCAAACATCTAAAAGTCCAGTGTACACCACTGTATGTATGTATGTATGTATGTATGTATGTATGTATGTATGTATGTATGTATGTATGTATGTATGTATGTATGTATGTATGTATGTATGTATGTATGTATGTGGATTTGTTTATTGTCTTCATAACATCATTTTAATGTATATATGTATGTGGATTTGTTTATTGTCTTCATAATATTATTTTAACCATGAATTTATTTGCATAATCGGAATTAATTAAGAGAAAAATGGAGCTAACATGTTCTAATTGTTGTTGGTCAGATTTTATACTTTATAAAATATGTATATTTTAAGAAAAAAACGAAAGAACTATTGCAATTTTTATGTAACATTAGTTATCAAAAACATGATAAAGTTTTTTTTCTTCTAAAATTTAGTTAAAAAACTTATAAATATTTAGTTAATACTTATAAAAAAATAAGAATGTTAAATGTTACGTTTCTACATTTAAAGTTTTGAATAACAATGCTTAGTTAAAGCACATTTTTATTTTAAATTTGTGTAACATAAGTTAAAACTACATGCATTAACTAAAGTTCTGGCGCTTTTTTGTTAAGTTTTTGTTTACAAAATGAATTATGTCATTAAGTAATTTTTATTTCATTGCGTTGGTATGACAAGGTTTTAACTGAAACTTTTTATGTTAGGAGACTTTAGAATTTTTTTTTTTTTAATGTCAATTAAAATTATTTATATTATTGCCTTTTTATTTGTTTATTTGTTCTTATTTAGGTTGATATATAAATACACATAAATAAATAAAAATAAGAATTATATAAATATTTGTATTTAGACATTAAAAAATATATATGTATATTTTTTGCTATTCTCCTAATATAAAAAAAAATCAGTTGGAATATTTTTATTTTTGTTTTAGTAAAACAAAACATTTGTAAATACAATTATGGGTCATTCATAAAGCGTGTCACCCTATATTTGTCAATTCTTAACCCCTTCCCTCCTATCACAAACAATCACATATACCTGAACCCTTCTCCCACCTAAACTGGGATAGCAGTTTTTTTGTCAAAAATATTTTAAAAGATTCAAATGTAAATATTTTGCAGCATTTTAAAAAAATTCAACCTAATGAAAATAAGGCAATACGAATATACGTAAAGTGCGGCCGTGGTTAGAGCGCTTGCTTTATTAGCAGGAGATCCAGGTTCGAAATGAGCCTTGGACATATTTTCGCATCACGGTTTGGAAGGAGGCATGAACTTCCTGGTTAAATGCACTTCTGCGGTGCTCTGTGACAAGACTGTTAGATCTTCTTGGGCCACCTAAATAACAGTAGAAAAAAAAAGCGTAAGTAAAAACTTACGCTTAAACTTACGACAAACCAAAGGTTTTCTTATTTAAACGACTCAAATAAGTATTAATAAAGTTGTAATACGTAAATAATTTTTTAAATTGTTCTTGGTCTTGTGTAAAAACTGTTTCAAATTCGGTAACTTTCATAAATGTTATGAAAAATCACTCAGGAGGAGTGCCACTAGTTTTTTAAAATTTCCTTTGGTATTTTTAATGAATTAGTTCAATACTTTTGCAATTTACGCCTGACTCGGTAGCGTAAGTGATGTAATGTAAGTTAAATATATAGCATCAAAAAACAAGTTTATTTTCCTTAGCTGGTCACATCTGATAAAATTTTATATATTTTTTAAATTGGCATAGAATTCTTAACATTTTATGAAAGTTTCTAATACAAATCACTTTACTGATTCTCAGAAATCTGACCTAAAAGTTTAAGCATTTTTTTTACCTTGTTTTCTGTGTAACATAAGTGGCATTTTCAGTAATAAGTTCGTCCTCTTTTGGTCAGACTCAAAACCTTTTAGCCTATTTTATTCTTTAGACTAACAGCTTTCATACAAAATAGCTAAAAGTTTAATTTAAAGTTTAAATTGGCAAATATTTGATAAAGTTGTTGCGCGTGTAATGTAAGTTAAAAATGGAGTTGCCCATATGTATGTATGTATAAGTGTGTGTGTGTCAGGGTTGGAAAAAACCCTATTTTTAAAAAAACCTAACCCAAATTGATTTTTTGGGGTTTTATTGAGATTTTTTGGGTTTTATGGTTTTTTTAAAAACTGATCAAAGTTCCAAATTTTTATTCATGTATGTGTGCTGTAATTATTTCATGTATTCACCTCCTTTTTGCTCCAGTGTCCACTACAGTCAAGGAAGATTTTTTAAAAATATTTAGGATAGATTTGAATGTCAACTTGCCAAATCTTTTACCACTATTCTACTACCATATCTATGGTGCTCAATCGAATTCCTATCAATGATGTTAATTACATTAAATTAAAAACATGTTCCGAATTTTTTTGAATAAGAAAAATCATTATGGCAACTAAAATAAAAATTATTATGGCAACTGATTTATTCAAAGTTGGTAAGACAATATAAATTTTGAAAACTAGTTTTTGTACTTATATATTAAGCATGTCACTTCAAAAACTAGTTGGCACAAGTTTACAACATGTAATCTACATGTTTGAAACATGATGTTGCAACCTTGTAAATTATCGTCAATATCGAACATTACTATCCAACTTCCTGAAAAAGTTGTAAATCTGATCAGTAAATAAAATAGTTTTCTTATTTTATATGATTATAATCATGTTTTAAAAACGGAGTAAGAATGGTTAGCTGATTTGGAGTGACATTGAACACATGTTTTTATTTTTTAGATTATGGATAGACTCGTTTGCAAGAGGTTTTGTGCCTAAACCTAGCTTATTCTTAAGAATATCTAAAATGAATTCATTAATTACCAATATCTTCACCACCAGGTTCTTTATTTTTTCCTGGAAGATGTTTTATCACCTTAGTTTTGTTCCTCCAGTCTTTCATATAAGTAATTGTTTGTACAAATAAACTTTCTGTTGAACTATTAAGTCTAGCCTGTCCACCAATGTTTTTTAGGAACTTGATCCACAAGTTTTACTTTTTTATGTAGTGTTCTTTTTGGAATGTATTGTTAGCCTTTCTTATGGTAAATCCATGGTTTTTTACTTTGTTTACAGCTGTTACTAGGTTTGCTTGAGGGTGACTTGTTTTGCAACACCTGTTATTTTCCTTTCTTTTGTAATTTTGAGGCAAATTTTCTAAAATTAGCGAAAAAAACTCAATTTCTTGATAAAAAAAGATATCATTTTAGATAAGCAAATAAATTTATAGACAAGCTATACCCTAAATTTTGATTTTATTAGAACAATATGTACGTGAAGCAATTTTTATGGTGTTTTGTTACGTGGTTTTTAAGATAGGTTGATAAGTCACTTGACTGCTTGAACCACTCTTGCTGTTTATATGCGGTAGTGAAAAGCTGGAAAAGACAAATTGTTTGTGCAGTCCAAAATTAGTTTCTATATGTTAAAAGCAACTGAATCAAAGTAACAAAAGATATATCTCTATTGTGTGTGTTTCTTCACCTTTTAGTAAACTTGGTGTTTATTTTCACCCCGCTGTTCATAGTTACCCATGTTGGCAGTAAAACTTGCTGCTGATATAAAATTTTTTTAAACCTGAAGAATAGACAGTGAGCCTAAGTATCATTTTCACCAACAAACCCTGTCCTTGGGAAGTACATACAGGTTTCCAACATATTTTCTCATCGAATGAGCAAACATTTTGCAAACTTGAATGCATAACATATATATTTAATGTTTTAAAGTAGTATTCACTTCCTAAGAATGAAGTGAATACTACCTACACAGTCTAGTAAACTGTCCACAGTCTAGTAAACTGTAGCATAATTTTTTTTGCCTGACTTTTCACTTCCAGACTGTGAATAAGGTGTAACAATTTATATATATAGTGTAATGCTTATGGCCTTGGACTGCATTTTATAAAATAAACTTTACAAAATAAAGGTCAAATACCAATATAAAATGACAAATCTGAAACGCTTGTTCGGACATACAGGGCTTCGAGAGGATAGGAAAGATGTTTAATAACTAGTAATTTCTTGTACTTTGAAATTTAGTTAGTAGAGTGATTTTCAATTTCTATATAAACGTTTAACTAATTTGCTCTAAAATTTTAATACATATTACAATGATATTTTTTAGTAATTTATCTTGCTATATATTTTAAAAATTAATAAACTATCAACTTGCTACAAAAATTAGATTTAATTAGATTTAATCATATGATATTTAATATATATATATATATATATATATATATATATATATATATATATATATATATATATATATATATATATATATATAGTATATGTGTGTTTATATATACACATAGCAAAGAACAACTTGAAGAGTATGAACCAAGGCGTTATTTAGATCATCTCAGAAAATCTTCATCTTTCATTGACCCTCATGGTGTCGATAAATTACTTGATCAATTTCATGTGGATCGCTCAAAATCATTTTTGAGAAGTCAAATGTAAATCTTTGTATTTTTTTATACTATTTTTTTCAATTTTATATAATAATATTTATATAGTATAAATTTTTTTTTTTATTTCTTTTATATTATATTTATATAGTATAAATTTTTTTTAAAGTAAAAAAAAAAATTCAAATAATAATCAAAGCTGTTAGTATTAATTTTTTGTCTCAGTTAAACTTGTTTACCCAGTAACTCATGTGATTTTTTTATTTATAGGTGCGATTGTCCTAAAGAAACTGTTGATTCTTTGCGTGAGCGACAATCATATAAATGGTCCATGGATATGTGAGTAGAAATTTAGTGGATATTAATACCTTATGTTAAAATGTTGTTTTAATTGATCTATTACTCTTTTTTTGATAACGTTTTTTTACTTTCTTTTATATTGTTTAAAAATTTACATGATGTAATTTTTCGCATAGCGTAATACCTATTTTAAAGACCTTTTTTTGAAGATAAATTCAAACAATTTATTATAATACTGTTATCACATAATTATAGCACAGTTGTAAATGTGTTAAAACACATTTTTAAAGTTGTTCCAATACTGTTATAAAACATAACACAGTTATAAATGTATTCTATTATAACACAATTATTGCAAATTTAATGATGCAAAATATCTATTTATTATAAGGGTTGGTACAGGTGTAAAACATTTTCGTGAAAATGAAGTAAAAGAAGCAAGAGATAGTTTTGACCAAGCCATAGCTTTCTATCCAAATAATGTTGAGGCTTATGTTGCACGTGGTGCTTTGTAAGTTATTTTTTTAAAGAAGTTAATTTTTAGAAGGCTTTTAAATTTTTTATTGGAGTTAAATTTTTTATTGATTAACTGTTGATAGACAAATTTCTTATGATATTTCATTAAGAATTGTTAGTAAACTAATAAATAGTTTGAGTGCACTCTTTTGTTAATACATTTTGTTTCAGTTTTTCAATAAAATTTAAAACAAATAGATCAATATATGAGAGAAACAATGACTACAACAATAAAAAAACAATAAGGTTAATAAATAGATCAATATATGAGAGAAACAATGACTACAACAATAAAAAAACAATAAGGCTAATAAATAGATCAATATATGAGAGAAACAATGACTACAACAATAAAAAAACAATAAGGCTAATAAATAGATCAATATATGAGAGAAACAATGACTACAACAATAAAAAACAATAAGGCAAATAAATAGATCAATATATAATAGAAATAATGACTACAGCAATAAAAAAACAAGAATAAATTAAAAAAAAAGACTAGCATAAGACAGAAAGAACAAAAAAAAAAAGATTTAAAAAACTTATTATTTAACTTATTTATTAAAAACTTATGAATTATTTTGATTTAGAAAAGCAAATAGTAATCAGCTTAAGGAAGCCATACAAGATTTCAAGAAAGCTCTTGACATAAAGCCAAATCATAAAAATGGCAAAAAATATTTAATAGAAACATTGTTTAGTCTTTCAAAAGGGTAAGTTTTTCACTTCATTTTTGAAACATTTTTTTATCAAAATAAAAATGTTTTTTTATATGGTTAATCGTTATTCATAAATTTGCATGTTAAGTTCTATATATAAATATTATTGCTGTCTTATACCTGCCGCACTACCTTATAATAGGTAGGTATTATATTGCTTTCTTATACTTGCCACTATTATACTTTGAATACTACCTATTATATTGGTAATAACATATATTGTTGTGTTCTTAAGAGCCTATTGTGATTTTGAAACTATAAATATTTTTTACTAAATACTTTTTTCATTTATTTTAGTTATGAGAAAGATTCAAAGTGGAAGGAAGCTTGTCGCTGTTACAAAGATATTCTAGAAAAAGATAGTGGTAATACTGATGCCATGGATCATTTAAAGCATTTGCAACATCTTTTATCTAGAGAGGTCAGTCTTGTATATCCTCTTTTTAAAAAACACTACGTGTAAGATCTTAAAAAACTAATTTAACATGACAGTTGCTAATAGTTGTATTTATACTTGACTAAAAATTTAACATTTTAAGAAATCGTTTGATATTTTTTTTGTTAACGTTGTTGCTTTGTCTTCTTTTTTCATGCTTTTGACGTTATTTTTGCAACTTCTGTACGTATCGAACGTTTTCTTGCATTTTTTATTTATTTGCGCCAAACTTTAATAAACCGCTATCTTTGGAGTTTTGGTCTTGACGTTTCAATTTTTGTGAATTTATACGATTTTAAACGTTTCATAATTTCTTGCCTAAATGGTATCTGATGGAGGTGGTATCAAGGCGACCTAATGCGTCAAAAAGAATGAAGCTTTCAAGTTTAAGCACTGCTTCTCAAATTAAAATTGATAGACTGAAGGAGCTATTAGAGGCTGATACTAGAAAAGCTTCAGAATCTAGGTAATATTAAAAATACTTGAGGTAATATTTTAAGCACACTTAAAAGATTGTTTTGTTCAAAAATGTTTTAATTAATTTTTCTTATTTCTACAGCTCTTCAACTTCTTCCTCCTCTTCATCTTCGTCCTCGTCTTCTTCAGGGTCAGAATCAGATGATGACTGGGTAGAAGCAAGTTGTTCGAAACATAAACGATAATGATTTTTTAGATTATAACAATCATGAAAATAATAAACTTTGTTAGGTTATAACCAAGACCACCAGTATTGTGTGGACAAAAAACAATTATAAAATTTTGTTTTCTCTATTATATACGTTTATCTATATTTATACGTTTACAAAAGAAAGTCATCTTCATCAAATTTTTTTGATAAATGCAAAGAAATCTCAAAAAAATCGTATTATTATTTATTTGCTATTATTTATCAGCATTGAAGGATTTGAGAATATTTTATTCGAATACCTTTCATTTAAAGGTGAAAAGGAAAAAATAAATAAAAATGAAGATAGGATTAGTCAAAAAATTATCTTAAAGAAATCTGATTAATTTTTTTCTAGGGAAAAACAAACAAGAAAAAAAGTAAGAAGAAGAAAAAACAAAATATAAGTTAAATAAAGTCGAAAATGGAAATTAATAATAAAAAGGAACTACAAATTTAACTAACAGCAAAAAAAAAATTTATTTAGAAAGAAGAATTTATTTATTTAAGAAAAAAACAGCAGTTTTTAACTATTAAAATTATTAATTTAGTACAAAAATTTATCTCAATTTTTTGATGAAAAATTGAGAAAAAAAAATTTCAACGTCATGAGTATTATAACAAATGGAATTTCTTGTGCAATCCAAGTTTTAAACTGGATTTACCAAAATCACAACTAAAAGCAGATTGACACCCTGAAAATTTGGGGTCTTAATACCAACAAAATATCCCATACAAGGCCGTTTAGCCAATAATTCTAGATGTCAATAGAAGCAAATATTGATAAAAATTGAAATCGTGGACTAAAATCCAAAAGAGTTATAAGGGTTCGAAGTTTCAACCTTATAATCCAATTGGGGATGGAAGGAATTTAAATTTTTTAAGTTTTGACAAAATGCTTTTTGACAATAAAGCATGAAATTCCGTTTATTATTGAAAAGATATGATTTAATCATGCTGATATTGTTATTGGTGCCAAATTGTTGACTTGCCACATCCCTAATTAAGAGCGCGCGCATTGACAAACAAAAAGCCGGGCGGAAGTGAAACTCTCACACGTTTTGGGCTACGTTTGCACACACAATGAGTGCAGGAAGTATGTCTGCTTCATTTGCATGAAAAAAGCAGACCGTGAATTGACAGATTCCTTTGAATAGAAGATCACAGAAAATTTTTCCGACTCCGTTAATTTTAACGATAACAAAGGTCCAAACGGAATTTGCTTGACTTGTCGTTTCAAAATTAACAAAACCAGTGACAAAAATTCGTCTCCCAATCCTCCTGCTCTTTACAACTTTGATTCGATTCAAGTTAAAACTCTGGCAAAACAGACAAGTGCTTGTGTTTGCTTGATTTGTTGAATTGCAAAAACCAGGTAAAGAAATGCATCCATTGATGAAACAAAATCAAACCGAAGCTCAAAATCACTCGAATCCGTCAGCAGAAAAGAAATGTACAATTTGCTTATTCGTGGTTGCACGTGGACTACCTCATCATTGTACTCAAGGGACTCGAAGTTTGAAAAACTTCGAGTCCCTTGAGTACAAAAAAGTTTGAACTTAAGAACATCAGCAATGGCAGATCCCAATAGGGCAGAGCCGATAGCAGCATCAGTAATACCATTAAAAGATGCTTCACCAGATGGCCCAGTAAGAATTCGAAAATCTCAAGGAGCACCATTGGCAGTGAGAAAAAGTACTCAAAATTTCAAATGTTTATATCAAAATTTTAAATTCAAATCGAAATTAATTTTTGATTGACATTACTTTAATTAACAGGGTCAACAGCAGCACGTCAACAAATTTTTTCCAACTCTCCAAGCACGCAAGATGTGGTCTCAATTCAACAAAATACAGGGCTTTCAAACACAGAAATGAGAAAATTTGGATCAGCTCTCAATCAAATAACTTGCAGAGGCTGGCAAATTATTACAAGAAATTTTACATTGAGCACTTTTCAACTGACAAACAATGAAAAACGTTACGTTGCTCATTGTCATGACCTTCATCAACTGAAGCAGGTTGCTGGTAACTCCAGGTGTCTTGATCAGGACATGATTCTCAAACTTGGAATAGATGGAAGTGGCTCATTTTTAAAAGTGAGTCTGAATCTTCTTGACATGAAACTTGATGAATCTGAGCCTAAAAGCCCCATTCAAAAGTCTGTAAAGCTGTGTTCACAAGAAGGCCTCAAAAGTACAGGTGTTAAAAAGCAGCTAATAGTAGCAGTGGCAGAAAATACACCAGAGGCATATGAAAATATCAAATCAATTTTTGGCCTCCTCCAAATTGAAAAAAAGCTTGCTACTTCAGATATTTTTTGTGATTTAAAACGCGCAAATATTATGTATGGGATCCATGGGAATTGAGTTGAATGGCTCAACTCAATCCACATTCCACTGTTACCCTACCATGGAGGTCATTACAAGACAATGATTGCATGAAGCTGTTAAAAAAAGTGGATTAATTGAAAAATATTGCTGAATCAGAAAATGCTTTACAAGCAGTAGATTTCTGTAACTGTTTGGCATCTTTTAAAGATGTCGTAACAGTATGCTTTGGCTGCTCACTTGACCCTGATTTTGAGTTAAAAATTAAAAAGTTTCAGACAAGTTACCTGAAGCTGCAAATTTTAGTCACACCAAAAACTCATGCAATTTTTTATCACGTGCCACAGTTCATCAAAAAGAAGAAAATGGCCCTCGGACTCTTCAGCGAGCAAGCTACTGAGTCAATGCACTCCTTTTTCAAAATACATTGGGAGAGATACAAACGAGAAGCTTCCCATCCTGATTACCAAAAACAGCTTTTAAACTGTATTGTTGATTACAACAGCAAAAAGATTTGTGGCAGTGATACTTGAGAATATTAGGAATAGTTTTGAATTGAAAGTCTTGCTAGAAATAAATTAGAATCCATTATTTTTGTATGGAAATTATTATTTGATGTCAGAAAAGTATAATTCTTATGGATTAATTATTTTTCTTTCCTTTTTGAGCCTTTTTACACTTCATGCACTCTACAAAAAAGAGCTGCCATGTAGCAAAAACTACAATTTTTTAAAAAGTGAATATCTCTTATGGATTTTAATTCTAGATTTTGAAATTGCTCATTTTAAGCATAGTTTAGCATCTATTTTATGTGGCTAAAAGGATTTTAATGGCATGTTTTTTGGTATTAAGACCCCATATTTTCAGGGTGTGGATTGTGTCATTAAATAGTTAGGGATAAAAATTAAGATATGTTTACCAGATATCCTAAAAACAAAAAAGGTATCCGTCTATCTTCTGTTGTTTTTGATCATATTTTAGAGTTTTACATCAGCGAAAATCTGAATCTAGCTATTAAATTTGATGGTGAAAATTTACAAAAGCGTTTTATAATTTAAAATAAAATTATTTAAATGTTATGTGCTGTACACAGAGACATTTGGTAACACAATAAAATTTTCCAAACTATGCGTATTTCATCCAGCTCAAATGCTCAAATATTCAGAGATGCCACTTAAAACCTGCTGTTGTCATGTCAGCTGCTCGCGACGTTAGAATTATCTTGTTTTATCTCCACATTTTTTAGTTTTGAGATAAAACGATTTAAAAAATAAAAACTTTAGGAGACGGCGTATAATTCTTTTGGAGATAGAATAAGATAATTCTAACGTCGCGTGCTGTTGTCTAATTCATGAAAATTTTATTAAGATATGCAATGCTTTATTCTCAAAACTCAATTTTGAGCCTAATAACACAAACTGAATAAACACAGAGATTCTTTGCAGTCCTTTTACTCCAGATTGTCTCTTACTCTCGTATAGTTTTGAGCCAATAACCTTACCGACCGAATGTTACCAACATCCGAGGAGAAAAAAAAACATAAAGAAATCACTTACAAAAGCAAAATTACAAATCGTCTACAGCGGATATAGATCAAGCAGTTTTTGTATACAGCATATACAGAGTTTTGCGACATACACAGGGTAACCAAGGGCCTGTTGTCTTGTCACCAAAATAATTCGTGCTATAAGTGGTGAACTAATAATATCCTTTAATTTACTCCAAACTATAGCTGTATTCATCAAGAACGAGTTCAAAGTGTTAATTGGAAACAATAAGTACATTGAATTTGTTCTTGATGAATCAATCTCAAATAGCAATCTTCACTATTGCAATTTATGGTAAAGATTTTATAAATGGATTGCGTTCAAAACACAAGGGAACCAACCTTAAAAAAGTTAGTTTTGAGAAAAACATAATAACAGATTGTTTACACTAATGATAGGGTAGGATCCTTTTTACATAATAAGTTTTTGTTTAATCGGAACGTTAACTGAACTTTAGGGAAAATGTGAAGCCGGTTTCCTTGTATTTAACACCACCAGAATTCAGTTGCTTTTATAACAAATACAAATAATCATAGGTAAGTCAATGTTTTCCTTGAAAACCGTTATTTTTTTAAAGGCATTTTCTTATACGGTTCAATTTCTATCTCTTTTATATATATCTTTGAGGAGTGAAAAATAGTTGTAATAATACTTTTAAGACTTACGTAACTAATTCAAACATAAAACAACGTTTTGTAGTGTTGATAAAGTGGTTTTTAATTGAAAAGATGGCTTTTCAATTTAAAAACCACTTTATGGTGAAATTCCTAGAGTTTTGTTGAGTGACTTGATATTCTAACTTTTGAGTCGAATTTGTTTGCCCACAGAATAGAAGCTATCAATGATGCATGAAGAACCTTGAAAAGGACAGCAAGACAAAAAGTTAAAGCACGACAAATTATTATTCAAAATGGACGGCAATTTTATAAGGATATGCAACGATTCAACGGTTAATTGAATGTTAGCAGAATATGTTTAGTTAATCATTTCTGGAGAGTTAAGAATAAAATTTTATGCATAAAAATAATGTCACCTTTGTCAGACAACTTACGCAGCTTAACAACCTTTATTTAATTGACCTCTTGAGTTTATTTAAATACGTCTTTAAGTGCAATTTAATAAAAAGATTTGTGATTAAAAACCTGTTTCTTTATTTGTTTGATTTACTTAACATTAATTAAAAACTATTTGCAAAGTATTTATAAATTTTTTAAAAC